AGATGTGTGACTTTTGACAGGCAGAAAGAATATATTTCATAAAGAAAGAAAGAGCAATCAAGTGGGAGAATTTTCTCCATGTCAGCCAGTGACAATGGCAACAAAGATTAGATGGACTATGTACTTCAAAACAGGAAATTTTCCAGAATGGCATGGGAGTAATGGTGGTGGCAGTGGGAAGGATGAGATCTTCCTCTCTCCCTAATCCTGGCTCTTTCTACTCCATACAGCAAGTGGAGAAGGAGAAAGACATCAGAAAATAAAGAACTGATGTCTCAAGAGAAAACCAAGGCAAGGCGAGAAAGGGAAAGGGCATTTGAAAAACATGTCTGTGGAATCGCCAAAGATCTGATCCACAACGAAACAGGGGTTCCAAAATGTACAGAATAAGCAACTAGTGGAGGTACTAGAAAGAGTGAGTGAATTGTAGAGAGAACTCTCCGAGAATAACTTTAATAAGGGTGTTTTATCAGCTTGCATTAGATTCAGCTGTATGAAACAGAAAAATTAAAAACAAAATCATGACTTAACCAAGATAGAAATTGCTCTTTCTATCCAGGGCTAGCAATGTTGGTTCCATATCATTAAGGCCTCATGTTCCAGATGGCTGCTGGAACACCAGGCATTAAATCAGCATTGCAAGCCATTAGAAAAGTGGGAAGAACAAAGAGCTGTGCACTACTTCTCTTTAAGAAGATTTCATGGAAGTCCTCACAATTCCTCCTTTTGTGTCTCACTGACCAAAACTTAGACACATTGTCATACTAGCTGCAAGAGAGGCTAGGAGATATAGTCTTTTAGATGAGTGCATGTGCATCCCAATAAAATGAGTGTCTGTTACTAAGGAAAATAAAAGAATATGGATATTGGATCAGACAACAAACAGCCTCTGTGAAAGGTAGCAAAGGAGAGAGCCACAGGGAGAGGCTTTCACCTAGGACAGTGAGTCTCATAAATCCTGGATTCCTTCTGCTCCTCCTGGCCCCTTATTTCTTCTGTCATTCAAAAGCCTCTTTTTGGGGAGACCTGACTAGCCCTACTTTCTCTCCAGAAGAACCACACTCCTGGGATAGGACTATGGCTCAGTCAGTGACATTGGTATCAGGTTCCTATTCACTATGTTAGTATGCAGAACCCCAAACCCTGGCAAATACCATCTCTAACATCATCTCCTCATATCATCTCCTCCTACCAGTTATGCCCTGCACAACCAGGGATTTTCTCCTTTAGAACTGGATTTGGATTCAAAAAGGTGAACTCTCTTCATGACAAGCCTCTGCACATTGGCTTTAATCATACATTCTGGGTAGAAATATTTTAGTATACAATGAGCATCACTGTCTGTTCATGGGGCTCACATATTTTTAAAAATAGAGACAATGTTGAGCACCCTCTCATCATTTCAATAATTAAGAACTCTAAGATTCATCCCACTGTTTTCATTGGTAGGAGGTAGAACATTGGAGAAAATTCTAAAGCCCAGCATAAGTAAAGGAAAGACTTATGGCTTAGTTTAGGTAAGCCTAAGTAGTTTGTATTATCCCACAAAGATAGCTTTAGTTTTAAACAAGAAAAGCATCTCTTTCCTTGAAAACCCGGAAACATGTTTTAGATTAGGAAAAACAGACCCTTGATATTCTTCTATCCAGGCCATGAAGGAAAATAAATAGTCAGTGTTCCTTAGGGCAACAATGTTGCTCTAAGGCCAGGAGTCAACTATATACCCAGACAGTTAACAGTTCCTTGGGGGAGAGAGTCAACATTGGCAATCTGTGATAACGGCATTTGTGCAAGCTAATGTGGACAGGTGGTATGTGAAGTACTAACTGATGTGTTTCACATGCTGGCCTGCTCAAACTGCATTTCAGAGAACTTGTTCACTTGTACCCCTTTTCCTTCCTCTCTCCAAAACTAAACAAATGCCCTTTGAGTTAGAAAAGGAAAGGAATAGGGTAATTGGAACAGAAGCAGGAGAATTAGACCCTGGTGAGATATATGAGATGGGGCAGAAGGCAAGACAACAGATTCCCAGATAGGTTTAATGATCCAAGGGCTAAAGAGAGACTTTTAATCAAAACCAGGAAAGTGAGCATCCTGTCCCCTTTCTCTCAATACCTTTCAAGGCAAAACACCGAATGTTGATAGGACAGGTCTAAGAGACGGTCTGAGACCACTCGTGTGTGTGCATGTATTTGTGTCTTCATGGGGAACAGGGAGGAGCATCTTCAAAGGATGAGGAAGGGCCAGACAATCCAAAGCCCTTAGAATGAGGAGGACACAGGATATATGGTGCTATAGTTTGGCTGTGTAATCTTGAATTATAATCCAGTAATCCCCATGTGTTGTAATATGGAGCTGGTGGGAGGTAATTGAATCATGGGGCATTTTCCCCCGTGCTGTTTTCATGATAGCGAGTGAGTTCTTACGAGATCTGGTGGTATTATAAGCATCTATCATTTCCTCTGCTGGCTCTCATTCTCTCTCTTGCTGCCTTGTGAACAGGTGCCTGCTGCCATGATTGTAAGGTTCCTGAGGCCTCCCCAGCCATGCAGAACTGTGAGTCAATTAAACCTCTTTTCTTGGCCGGGTGCAGTGGCTCAAGCCTGTAATCCCAGCACTTTGGGAGGCCAAGGCGGGTGGATCACGAGGTCAAGAGATCGAGACCATCCTGGTCAACATGGTGAAACCCCATCTCTACTAAAAATACAAAAAATTAGCTGGGCATGGTGGCGTGTGCCTGTAATCCCAGCTACTCAGGAGGTTGAGGCAGGAGAATTGCCTGAACCCAGGAGGCAGAGGTTGCGGTGAGCCAAGATCGCGCCATTGCACTCCAGCCTGGGTAACAAGAACGAAATGAAACTCTGCCTCAGGAAAAAAAAAAAAAAAAAAAAACCTCTTTTCTTTATAAATTACCCAGTTTCAGGTATATCCATATAGCAATGTGAGAACAGACTAATACATGTGGCCTACTGACCAGGACAATGACACCTCACCATACTCTAGCTGGGAGAGATGCCCATGACCATGGACCAGAAGCTTCCCCTGGTGCCAGAATCCCAAACTGGGATCTCAAAAACTTCGGCAGACTCTGGAGAGGCCTTAAAGAGGTCGAGGGAATCATGAATTGATTCATTTTTAACCTGAAAGTCATGGCATTTTCTCAGAAATTACCAAGATTATGTTTTCTCCCATTTGGTGAAAATGGGGCTTACAAAAACAGTGAGTAATAGAAATTGTTACATTCTCTTTTTGCACACCCAACTTGATACTTGCTACCGTAGTCACCCATTTGAGATGTGGTGTTAGGTGTTTCTTGGGAATCTGCAAGGTGCTCTGAGAGTGGACTGAAGAGAGGCACAAAACTTCACTAGAAGCTCTGGCCAAGTTTTTGTTTTCACTACAATCATGTTTTTTTTTTTTTTTTTTTTTTTAGATACAGCTGTCATCAAGAGAAGGCCTACTTTGAAAAGCAGATGGCAGGAATTTTGAATACAAGAAAGGAGTTCCCTGGGCAGATGGAACAGACAAGGCATGAAGAAGTGAAGGTCTCAACAGAGACACAGAGGCAGAACAGAATATGTAAGAACAAGGGTTTGAGAAGAGAGAGACATGAATAAAGTCCTGGCTCCAGAGAGTCAGTAGCTGGGGATCTGGTAGAGAGCCCCTCCCTCTGGGATGAGTCCCTCCTCCACAAAATGTCTGTCCAGCTGCACTCTTCAGTTGTACAGCACTGTGAAGGTTCACATGAGCATTTCATAAAGCCTGTGGGGCTCCCTCAAAGCACTCTTCCCTATCCATCTGGCAAACATTACTGTCAAATGCATCAGAAACCTATCATATAACACTTCCAGTTTTTTCATCATAAACCCTTCCAAACGGCCCACTGCTATTGTTAATGACTCAAGATTCTGACATCTCCTTCATGGGACAAACTCCAGCTCTCTTTTTTTCTTCTTATTTACCTTACTTAGTACATTTCAATATATTGTCATGCAATTATTAGAACCTGTGCCTTCTACTTTTCCTTTGAAATGCTCTTGCCTCTTGCAACTACAGCTGCGTAACTTCATAGTGGATGAAATCATCACAATCTAGAAAATCATTTTTCTGTCTTTTCACAAGATTTCAGAATCATCTCCTGACTATGCAGCAGGCTTGCCTGAAGAGAAGTGTGATTCTCAAGGATACATTTGTTCTGTTATAGCTTTTTGTATGATACTTGAGCTGAGTTCATAGTGCCTCCTAAAGAAAGATGTCCATCATGGTAGAGCACTGAATCAGTAAACATTAAAGCTAGGAAAGACCTTTAAAGGCCATTTATTACAGCTTCAGAAGCAGAAACATAGGCTCAGAGAGATGAAGGCCTTTCCAAAGGCCACGCCTCCAGTGAGGTGCTGAATGAGGTTTAGAAGCTTGGTGGCCTAGAACCCTGTTTAGTGTTCTTTATGCCACACTATTTTTAATCTTCTTGCTTGACTAGTGTGGAAGTCATTTGTGATGTCCCCAATACAGGGATACCTCATGTTACTGCTCTTCATTTTACTATGCTTCACATATACTGCATTTTTAACAAATTGAAGATTTGTAGCAATCCTGCATCAAGTCTATCAGCACCATTTTTCCAACAGCATGTGCTCTCTTGTGTTTGCATCAGCATTTTTTAGCAATAAATTATTTTAATTGTTATGCACCTTGTTTTTTTAGACATAATGCCATTACACACTTAGTAGACCACAATATAGTATAAACATGTAAGTTTTCTATGTACTGAGAAACCAAGAAATTTATGTGACTTGCCTCACTGTGATATTTGCTTTATTTTGGTGGTCAGACACTGAACCTGCAATCTCTCTGACATATGCCTATATTTCTTTGGGGAGATAAAGGAAGAAGTTGGGCATGCTTGTTTTGGCTAATGAAATGTGAGCCGAAGCAAAGTGTTTCACTTCCACTTTAAGAACCAGTAGGTGATTCTCCAAGTTCCTTTTCTGCTACCATGGCAACAGGCAACATACTAGATAATAGAAGTTTCCGCCAGCTGAGGGCTACCAGGAGACTGAGGACAATGTGCAGCAGAGCCCCAGCTGACTCATAAAGGACATGCAGAATGAGTGAAAAATAAATCTTCACGGTTGTAAGCCACTGAGACTTGGGCATTGTTTGTTGCTGCACCATCACCTAGCCTGTCCCCACCAGGTGAGCCTGAGGCACACCTCCATTCCCACAGCACACCTCTGTGCATGAAGACTTCAGAGGGCATACAATGCAGGAGATCAGAATTCTGCTCCATAAAACATTCTAAATTCCATAGATCACCAGCATTCTTTCTTCCTCTTGGCTTATATTAGTGATAGGGGTGTGGTTTATTACAAAGAATGAGTATTTTGATAGCTTCTCATTCTTTGAGCTGTTCTGCAGGTAAGTTCCTGGTGGAAATATTCTCTATTCTTAGGGTTAAAAACAGAATGAATTAGATAATTTTAATAAGTTCAGTGCATTATGACTTCAAATGCATCATCCTGTGCTTACACACACATACATGTGCAAAGATCTTTGGTTTCCTTGGAGGCTTTCTATCTAGATAAGTCTCAGCACTTCACAAGTTTCCTAACTTTATAAGCACCAACATTATGGCAAGTTGATGCTTCAAAAACATCACATCATCAGGTATTTCATATGAATAGTTACAAAATTAATGGAAGCTCCTCACAGAGTAGTAAGTGAGCCTCTGTGACCTTGGGTAGGTCACTTACCATCTCTGGGCCTCAGTTTCTCATCTATAAATGAAGATAGTAGTAGTGCCTGCCTCCCAGGGTTCATGTGAGAATGAAGTTGGGTCATGCACATCATGTCTGGTTCATAATAAGTACATAATGTTAACTATATCTGAGCCATAGAGTACATAGACATCCAAAAAGTAAACTTGATTCAGACTTTTTGCTTTCCAAAAAGGGTGAATTCAGAAAGCATTTGGTTCACCAAGTACTGACTTTCTGGAAAAGATGTAAAACCACAGTCCTGCCACGTGAGGTTTTAACACACTTTGGAAAACACAAACAGATGGGTAGGCAAGAAGGTATTGCTAACAGTTCAGGAAAATTTTCCAAACCTCTTGCTGAGGGCATAGATCCAGCTGGGAAAATCTTTAAAGGGCAGGCTCGTTTATACTTTTTCCATCTTAAATATTTGGACTTTTTCAGGTTTATAACAAAGCTTGGAAAATACTAAAGGTTAAAGGAGAATTGAGAGCTGCCAAGGAAATGAAAGATGAGGTAAGGCTCCTAACTCCTCTACATACATGGAGTTGAATCTTCATTACAAGCAACACTTTTTCATGTTTTATGATTCAAAATTCCAGTAATAAGCATCACAAAATATCATGGACAGAGGTGGGCAGCAGAACATAGTGTTTAGGACCCCAGACTCAAGCTGGGTGAGTCTGGGTTCGTATCTACCAGCAGTATGATTATACCGAGTTTGTTGCCTACTCTAAGTTTCCTTTGCCTTATCTAGAAAATATGAATGATGAGCACCTATTCCAAAGACTTGGCGTGAGGGTTTGCAAATATAGTGCATATAGAAAGCACTTAATCAATATTAACTATTGTTGCTAACATTCTTTCTTTATCTGGAATGATATGAAAATGGAGTGTCTGATTAGTTTAATATTTTGGTCAAACTGTGTTTATGGGGCCAGGTGTGGTGAGTCACACCTGTAATCCCAGCACTTTGGGAGGCCAACGCAGGAGGATCGCTTGAGCCCAAGAGTTTGAGACCAGCCTGGGCGACGTGGTAAGACCCCTGTCTGTATAAAAGATAAATTTTTTTTAAATAGCCAGGTGTGGTGGGATGCTCTTTTGGTCCCAGCCACTCAGGAGGCTGAGGTAAGTGAATCACTTGAGCCTGGGAGGTTGAAGCCGCAGTGAGACGTGATCACGCCAGTGCGTTCCAGCCTGGGCGACAAAGACCCTGTCTCAGAAACAACAACAATATTTGTGTATGCCCTACCTTGTTCCAGAAAGGATTTAAGGGGGCTGTTTTGATGAGTAAAGGATTGTCCCACATAGGATGTCCTTTTTAACAGACCTCCTACCAAGAGGTGAATAGATTCTGAAACAGGCAGTCCACTCCTTGCCTGCTGCATTGCTGGAGGCACACAGAACTTGCTACCAGTTCTGTGGGGAACAAGTATCTGGTATGGATTTTCAAGAAGGCTGTTTCTTCATTTAAGTTATATCTTTGCAGCATCTTCAATGTGCCAGGTATTCATTGTTCTCAGAGCTGGGAATAAAGCAGTGAACAAAATAGACAAAAATCTCTTCTCTCATGGAGCTTACCGTCTTAGTAGAATAATTTCTCAAGTGATATGGTAGTGAAAGTCTGTGAAAACTGCCCAAGTGCCAACAAAATCAGCCCACATTCCTTAGCTGGCTGATCTCCACCATATGTCATATGTGTCCTAGACTATATACTTATAGGGTGTGCCAAGTTTTAAAGAATTTAGAATACCATAAAATATAGTCTCTCTTCAGTATATGAACATAAATGGTTCTAAATTTTTGTTCACAGGCAAAACCTTGTATAAGTATCCATTAATTCCCATCATAAGTAATGCAAAAACTATAATATTTCTATAAATGGAAAAGTAAACTTGGGAATCAAGTTAGTAATACCAATAATAGTGTTTAAAATTACTGTAGATAACTCTAAACTCTATTATGACACAAGCGAAATGTAAAAATTCCTGAATCAATGTTAGTTTTTAAGGCTTCATGCTTCTTAAGGCATAACACTCTATAAATTCAATAGTTCTGATATTATTGGTGGTTAAAAGTGGTTTCCCATTGATGATTGAAGATTTGTCCTCATCCTCAGACAAATAAGATAATATCCCAAAGATGATGACCTTTATGGTGTTATTGGTTGACTCCAAAATTACTCTGGAAATTGCCACCCAAGTTTTCTTAAAATGCCAAATCCCTGGGAATGCTGCCATTTTGAATCTTTGCAATGTTCTTGTGCTCTGAAAGTGCTACTGAATCATGAGCTTCAATTTAACATCAGCTTCCCCCAAGAAGAAGCTTGAGACTGTCAATACTTGGAAACCTAGAGAAAAATTTCTTCTCCTATTTTGAAATACATGTTTGAGATACCATGCTTTTTGACAAAAGATCCATTTAATCAATACAGAAAATTTGCTTGAGTAAATAACCTATTTTCCAATAGTTATAAGGAATATGGCAACAACTACTGTATCAGCACTAGTCATTTTGCCTGTGGGTTGATAGCTGCTGCTGATGTCATATGTTTCAAAGCAGAGTGACCAGGTTCCATCCTTATAGAAGACAAACCGGGTATGTAAGTACATGACTTAGGTAAATGAAAACTCACCTAGCAGCAGAGACTTGTGATTTCAGCCATTGTTAATGACTTCAGATCCAGGACAGGATCAGATGGTGCCTGAGGGTCAACATTATGTTCTCAGTTCATCTCATGCCCTAGTAATGGTTACAGAGCTATGATTGATGAAATGTCAGATTAAATCTTTTCCTATTGTATGTTGATACTCAAAAGGCATCTGCCTGGAATTTAGCCTTCATAAAGTAGATACGATTATAAATAGTTTACAGGTAATATCTGTGCAAGATACTAGCAAGAAATTAGGTTCACTGAGACCTTGGAAACATTTGCTTTTCTGGGGTTCTGAGTTGAGCACAGGTTTTTCTGATAACTTCCTACAATTAAAAATAGAACATGGTTCTGGAAATCGCCTGATCACTCTCCCAGAATGTTTACCCCTGTTCTGATGCATCACAACCTCTTTATAATTTGGTCTTTAGGAGAGAATGGTTAAGTTTTGTTTTCAAAAGTAAATTTCACTTGACGTACGTCCAAACGTATTTGTTATTCAACTGGTTTAAGGAATGTTCAAAGAAAGATGATTTATTCCAAACCTTTTGTTTCATGAATGAAGACATTTTCTGAGAGACTCTGAGCCAACGCTAAATATACAAATTAGATGAGATCATCTACATTAAGGATTCAATTCTGAAGTTCTGGTGGTACAAAAAAATTGGACCATCAGGCCTCTTCTGCTCAGAGGACATCCAAAACTGGGGAAAGAAAGGATATTTTTGTTGGCTTGAGAGAGAGCACTTAACTTTTAATTTAGAAAGACTCAAGTGTGTCTCATCAGTATTTTGTTAGTGAGCGCTCAGTGTGCTAGTCTCCATGGGGAACAATCTGGTGTCAGGGTCTCTGCCTTGAAACACATATATTCAGCACCAAGGCAAGAGTATAGGGCATTTGGCTCTCCTATGGAGCAGGCATTTTGTTGTCACCTAACCTGCTCATAGATGCCAAAGAAAGTCCTGTGGCCAGAGTGGAGAGGCTCCTTAGGGTCCCCTTTACCAGAGGGAAATAGGCTCCATACCCTATTCCCAGTGTGGTAACCGCAAGAAAGGGATCCAAAGCACCAGAATCAAACTACCACTCTTTATCGAGTTAAGGATTTTATTTCCAAGTTAGAAAACAGTGTCTGTACACCATTTTTTAAAGCCACTCTACACGCATTCTGTTAAGAGAGTCCCCGGTAATTGTCTTAATGGTAATTACATGCTTGGGGCAGTTGACATCCACTGTTATTTTTCTGGAAGTAAGAAACGAAGGATAGGAGCAAGAGAGGAGGAGGGAGAGTTTGGAGATAATGAAATCCTTTTAATGACAGAGCCATGCCGTTAACCTAATTAAACTGTAAAGTGGTAAAAAAAATTAAAAAAAAAATCCAGGTACTAAATGGAAATGAAGAAATAAATCAGCAGAGACAGCAGCACTTCTGGGAAACCTCCTGAATTCCGAATACTCTGACATTGCAGTGTCCGATTCTCACCGTTGTCCTCTGCACCCCCTCGGCCTTGTGCAGGAGTTGTTTAAACTGACCTGTCCAGTAAGGCTTGATTTACAATATCCATATCAGGTCTCCAGTTCCTCTGGGAATGTGTGTTATACAGCTCATATATTTCAAAAGACAGACCAGTCAGTCAGATATGATGGCAGAGCACTAGCTACAGGGTCAGGATGAACGTGCTCTCCAGGCCTTATTGCTAACCAGATGTGAGACCTTGGACACTGTGGCTTAGATTCCTTCACTATTTCCATGTACCAATCCCCTACCTACTGTGCACTTTTGTAGCTGTAATTCTCTTAGAAGAATTACCTTGTGACTATTGAAGTCACTTTGCCTACAGGGGCAGAGAGTTGGAAGTTCTTAGGAGTTTATAACCCATGGAGCAGCCATTGGCCATTGACTAACTGATGCTGAGTTTGACAGCCCAGCTTTCATTAGCACCAATCAGGACAGACTCTAAAGTGTAACTCATATTCCAGAGTTTCCTGTATGATCAGGCTAAAATTACTGCCCACAGGATTCTCTGAAAATGTACCTGTACTTGGTTTTTTCCCCTTCCCTGTCTGGCTTCCCCCTCTTCCATGCTGGTTTTTCCTGGGAGTGTTTCTTTAATAGATGACATGAATCTTCACTTAAGAAACTTCTGGGTAATCTAACCTAAGAGATAGGTACTGTATTGGTCCATGTTCGCACTGCTATAAAGAACTACCAGAGACTGGGTAATTTATCAGGAAAAGAGGTTTAATTGACTCACAGTTCCATATACCTGGTGAGACCTCAGGAAATTTATAATCATGGCAGAAGGCAAAGGGGAAACAAGGCACATCTTACATGGCAGCAGGAGTGAGAGAGAACGAGGGGAAGTGCCACACTTTTAAACTATTGGATCTCATGAGAACTCACTATTACAAGAACAGCATGGGGGAAACCACCCCCATGACTCAATCACCTCCCACCAGGTTCCTCCCTCAACACGTGGGGATTACAATTTGAGATGAGATTTGGGTGGGAACACAGAGCCAAACTATGTACTTTCCATAAAGGAACCAGCCTCAGTTCCTAGATTTAAAACTCAGCAGTGGTGCTCATGAGTGTTGTAGAAAGCCAGCATAGTGAAAGAAATGAAGGACTACACAGCTTCACATGGGACTTCTTCCTCATTTCTTTGACACCATTGCCAACCACAACACTGGGAGCAGAGGTGGCATCGTGGTGTGATGAAGCCCCACCCTCCTACAACAACTCTGCACCCACACCCCTACTCAAGTTGCTCTGCCCCATACACTCTTTATATGTCAATCACTACTTTCCATCCCCATCTAGAGACAGTTAGCTAATTCTTTTCACTCATAATCAAAGACAGAGATCTTATGCCACCAGCCCAGGGATTTCACTTTTGTTTCCCTTGTGAATGCCTCCAAAGAAAAGCACCGGGTTTATAGGTGAGGGAGATCCTTTGGTCTAGTGGGTGGAAGAGAAAGATAAGAGACTTCAGAATCCCACATCAAGCCCATCATGGATTCACTATACTTGTCTTGACAAGTTCATTTGACATCTCAATATGTTCATCAGTGGCAGAGCCATTAATATTTATAGACAGTCCACTAGGTGCCTGGAATTATTCTAGGCACTGACTTCCTCTTGAAAAACAGGGGAATTGTCTGTGGTGCACCCCCACAGTGTGGTGAAGATTAATTAATATAAATCAGTAATTGTCTGAATAATGCAGAGCACTCAGACACCAGGCAATTGGAAACTGTGTAAATGTTACACAGGATGAGTAATAACAGCTAACGGTTGATGGACAAATTTCCAGCAAATTTAAAGTCACTGTCAACCTGTTAAGTGAATGAAAGCAAGCACTTTCTTGATAGCTTATAATTGATGCTTTTGTTTTTCTGGCTGCCTAGGCAGGGGAGAGAGACAGAGAAGTGAGCAGCCTGAACAGCAAGCTGTTAAGCCTGCAACTTGACATCAAGAAGCTGCATGATGTCTGCAAGAGACAAAGGAAGACCTTGCAAGACAATCAGCTCTGCATGGAGGAGGCAATGAACAGCAGCCACGTAAGGGACTTGGCAGCAGCCAGCCACCCCTGCTCCCTTGACTTCTGCCCCTGCTGCCTTAGGGGGAAACAATAGAAAGTTGTTTCACCGTTCATTCAAGAGCACTTATTGAACAAGCAATGAGAGAGAATTAAGAGAATTAAACACACACACCCTAACACACATACATACAGAAAATGTCACTCCTGCCTTCAGGATTTTTCCGTCTATCTCCAAGGTCATGTACATGCTAGGCACAATATTTTCCTTATCTGGCCTTTCACACCTGTATTTACAGCCCATTGCCCTGAAAATATCAGATCACAGTGATACAAGGAGAGCCGCATCTGCTATGGATCTCAGATAAACTTCTAAGTCAACCATGAAAATAAAAAGCATCACACCTGCTCCAAGGTATCAGTGTTCATCAGGGTAGCAAGGGGTCTTTATTGCCGCACCTGTGTCTCACTGTTTTCGAGCTTTTCTTCTGGACACAGGAACCTGATCATAGGACAAGCTCAGGTTCTCAAGAGTTAATGCCTCTAGAAGCAACTTTCAAGCAATATCAGATGGGGGATGGTAGATTAAATCTCCCACCTTCCTTTCTCCCTAGTCAGAGGTTACTCGAGGCATGGAGTCTTGCAGCCTTCCTCAATAGAGCTGAGCCCGGTTGCTCACATCGGTAACTAGCTTGATGACACACCTTTTTTCTACCAAATTCTTTTTTTTTTTTTTTTTTTGTTACATGAGTAAGTTTTTTATCAGAGATTTGTGAGATTTTGGTGCACCCATCACCCGAGCACTATATACTCAACCCTCCTTCACCCCTCCCATCCTTTCCCCGAGTTCCCAAAGTTCATTGTATCATTGTTATGCCTTTGCATCCTCATAGCTTAGCTCTCACTTATGAGTAAGAACATACGATGTTTGGTTTCCCATTCCTGAGTTACTTTACTTAGAATGATAGTCTCCAATTCCACCCAGGTTGCTGCAAATGCCATTAATTCACTCCTTCTTATGGCTGAGTAGCATTCCATTGTATCTATATACCACATGCCAAAATAAGGAACCAGCCAAATGCCCATCAATCAACGAGTGGACACACTTTTTATCAGCTTCCTTCCCTTCCTTCTTTCAGTCTCCCACTCCCCAACCAGAGTCCTAAGACCACCTCCCACATCAACTACTACTTGCTCAGTTCCTTGTCACAGAGCCTACTTTAAAGGGTGCCCAAGCCAAGACACTCAGTAACACTGATCCTACATATGTGTGAACACGCAGACCTCCTGACAAGAACATCTTTCAGGAGACTGTGATTTTGGACCAATACTTATCTAGAGTCTAGCCTGTTCATCAGCTGAGGCAATTTCATTTCAGTCTGAGGAAGGCAATTTCGTTTCAGTCTGAGGTTTTCTTTCTTTGGAAGCTCTAAACCTGAGGCCTTTAAGTCAGTCTCTAAATTTATCCACACAAGCTGGAGAGCCAGCTGGGAGACATTTTCTCACAGCTCTCTAAACACTTCATGTTTCCAAGAATTCTTTACTTGTGGTCTTCATTTCCATTTAGTGACTTGAATTCTCAGTAAACATAAAGCAGGTCCTAGCTGCACAGACCTGTTGCTGGACACCCAAAGTTAGCCTCTGGGAGGCTGTGAAGCCACCACTGTGTTCTTCACTGTTTGTGGCCAAGAATCTGGCCTCTTTTCATTGCGTCTGTTAGAGTTCTCCCAGGACTTACCGCTTCACTATTGAAACCACAAATTGTTCCTCTGCAATGCCCTAGAAATACTACCAACAAAGCATTTCTACTTCATGTCATAAGCATTACTTTCCTCAGGAAGTCACAAATAGAGAAAAAATCCACTGGTTTCTTAAATGGATCTCAGGAAGAAGATTATCGTAATTTACTTCTTTCTAAATATTAACATTTTAGGATATTTCACCATTGCTGTCATGAGTTTTCTTATTCCCCCAGTCAGGAAAAGCCATGTGGCTTATAAATGTACCTGGCAACTTGGAAGGAGAAAGGTATTAAATTGCATTTTATTATTCTAATTGCCCAGAAGAAGGTCTAACAGCTTGAAACAAGCTTTCCCCTAGCACTTAGTGCAGAATTTAAATAGCAGACTACGCATACAAATACACAATTAGATGTAGACTTATACTCATCCACTTGGAAAATCCCTTTAAGATCTGCCTTCCACATGGAAATGTAATATGGAAACAAAAGGGAAACCAAGACTTTCTGAAATTCTGACTACTGTCTAACGAGGAGCTGGGGAAACAAGCAGGAGTTAGGACCACAATTATGTAAGAAGATTAAAATATTACATTAGATGTTATGTATAACAAAAGGAGTGGCAGGGAAGGGGTGAGTGATAGGAAAAAAAGCGACATGACCTTACAAATCAAGAATACATTATGCTCCTAATCTCAGGAACAGAGCAGGAAACAGAGTGAAGAGTGCTTTCTTAAAATTTGCACCTCACTTGCCTCACTGTAGAACTCACCCTGCCCAGGAATCAAAAGAGCATCTCAATTAAAGTGAAAGGAGAAAAGAACAACAGAGATATCATAATAAAATAATCAAACTCAGAAAAGAAAGGGCCTTTTGAGCCATATTCCCAGGTTGCATTCCCTGATGGGAGCATAGGGTACATGCCCTGATATTCAGTAGAGCTCAGATTGCCAAACTCATCTTTGAAGTGTACAGAGGACACTATTTTTAGCATTAATCTATATAAGGTAAGTTTGATTCCTGCAGATAAAAGTAATTCGTTGAATATGTGAAGATTAGTAGAATCTTGATGGGCATTATTACACAGTATCATTTTGAGTCATTGGGAATGAAAAAATATATATTTAATTGAATCTCCTGAATGCAGTCTGAAATCCTGGATTGGATATTGGAACAGAAAAAACACAGTAGTGAAAAAACTGGTGAAATCCAATAAAGTATAGTTCATAGTAATGTTCCAACATTAATTTCTTAGTTTAGACAAATGTACCCACTTATTTAAGAAGTTAACCTTAGGGAAAGCTGTGTGAAGAACGTATGGGAACTCTCTGTGCTACTTTTACAATTTTCCTGTAAATCAAAAATTATTCACTGGGCGCGCTGGCTCACACTTGTAATCCCAGCACTTTGGGAGGACGAGGCGGGTGGATCATGAGGTCGGGAGTTCGAGACTAGCCTGGCTAACAGGCTAGTCTCTACTAAAAATACAAAAATCCACTGGCCATGGTGGCGGGTGCCTGCAGTCCCAGCTACTCAGGAGGCTGCAGAAAGAGAATCACTTGAACCCAGAAGGCAGAGGTTGCAGTGAGCCGAGATTGGGCCATTGCTCTCCAGCCTGGGCAACAAGAGTGAAACTCCGTCTCAAAAAAAAAAAATTATTTTAAAATACATTTATTTTTAAAGTGAATTTCAGGCAAACAGAAGTCACTAGTGAGAATAATGTCTAAATCAGAAAGATGCATCTAAAATTAATTCATGTCACTTAAACACACAGTTCTATGCTCTACTGGTACAAGGAAGTACAAGAAATGCAATTTGTAGAAGACGTAAAAAGTAACAGATAAGGTTGGATGTGGTGGCTCACGCCTGTAATCCCAACACTTTGGGAGGACGAGGCAGATGGATCACCTGAGTTCGAGACTAGCCTGGCCAACATGACAAAACCCTGTCTCTACTAAAAATACAAAAATTAGCCAGGTGTGTTGGCAGGTGCCTATAATCCCAGCTACTCAGGAAGCTGAGGCAGAAGAATCACTTGAACCCTGCAGGCAGAGGTTGTAGTGAGCCAAGATAGTGCCACTTCACTCCAGTCTGGGTGACAGAGCAAGACTTCATCTCAAAAAAAAAAGTAACAGATAAACCTATCCAGTGATATAAGGCTAAAGTAAAGTTCCAAGGGAATATCTCATTTACCTCAAAGATAGGAAAAGAAGTTCATGAAAATGACTGAAAAAGTGATTTAGTCCTCATCTGTGCTAATGGTTGCTGCTGCTACCTCTTGAACAAGGAGAAACTGATTCAAAAGCCAATAACGCCTCATGCAATTCAGCTCAAGTTTGAAGATTTCCTAGATTGTCCCATAGACCTCAATACCAAGAACTGAAAATCACAAATGTAATAGATAATTTTGTATGAAAAGGTCAATTATAAAGCATTTAGATTTTTTCTTTTTTCTTTTTTTTTTTTCCCCATTTATTTATTTTATTGCATTTTAGGTTTTGAGATTTTTTCAACTATACAAATATATTCTCTGGGTTCTGCTATAGCCCAGACAGTGTTAATTTTTTCTTCCTATTGTGGGTTTTGGTCCCCTCCCCAGGAAATTATTTCAATTTGATGTGTCCAACTCTTAAGTTTCTTAGTAAAGAAAAAAATCTCCATTAAAAAAAAGACAGTGAGACTTTTTGGTTCTTAAATAAAAAAAAAAAATCATTGGGGATTTAGTTATCAGAACAATGCCAACCTAGTCAGTGCAAACTAGAGCAGGGAATAAAATGGTTAAAAAGTATTTTGAAAATCCAGCTTTAGGCAAATCAGCAGGGCCTGATGACATACTTCGAAGAGTACTTAAGGAATTGGCAGGTGTTATTACATCGCTGCTAGTGATTATTTTTGAGAACTCAAAAGGATAAAGAAAGTCCCTGTAGGCTGAAAAAGGGTAAATGAAGTGCTCATCTTTTTAAAAAGGGAAAAAGGACAATCCTGGTAATTATAGACCTGTCAGCTTAACTTCGATACAAGGAAAATACAGAACTTAACATCAATCAATTAGCATCAACTTGAAAAGCACAAAGTATTGGGTGGAAACCAACGTGACTTTTCAAAAGGCAAATCATGCCAGGCCAATTAATTTCCTTCTGTGATCAAGTGGTCACATAGGCAAGGAAGGAGCAATAGCTATAATCTCTTTGACCACAAGTAGGGCTGAAAGGTTGACTAAATATTGGAACAGGTTCCTATGGACAGCCAGCAGTCCCCATCTTTTCAAGCAGCTGAGACCTGGATAGAAATCCAGCTGAGAAACCTGGTAGACCAGATGGCCTCCAGAATCACATCTCTCACCAGATGGTCATTTTAAGAACTAATCTTACCTCTGTAAAATCATTTCCAACGTGCTTATTTTCTTCAGATCTCAGTTTAAAAGTCAAAGAAGACTCTAATAAAATATCTGTGTCTTCATTAGAAAGAACGTTTTTTAAAAAAAGACAAAGAAGCAATAGGAAATAAGTTGGTGCCTTTGTGATACTGCTGTTCAGCACATTTGTAAGTGAAGTGTAGGCTTAATCCATAGTGTGTGATTTTCTATTCCTTTAGAATTTAGAAAAATAAACTTTTGAATACATAACGATAAACAAGTAGAAACTTAATAGGTCTCAAATAAGTCTAGGCATTTCTCC